GCTTTTTTACACCTTATTCCGGTATTTAAAATGCTCCTGGGGGCCGTTTTATCAACGTGTCGTAGTCTACGACAATTTTTTGTCGGTGCCGTACGTCTGCGACAACGTCGTACGACCGTTTTATGAAACGTGTCGCAGACGTTGTGTTTCTGCGACGTCGCAGCCTTTGTCGTAGACAATAATTCTTGCGAGACACAGTCTAGCCAGTGCGCGTTTTGACGTCACATATAAAATCAAAGTACTTAAAGTACTGATGGAATTTACATGACTATTATCAAACGGATAAATTTACATGATTATTAGAAAATGGATAAATATTTTTTAATGTCATTAAAAGAACAAATTTAGTGAGAAATACAGCATATATTTTCTGCACTCAATTCAACCCTTAAAATACTAAATCACGCTACGGTTCCACCATTAATGCCGGGTCTGTACTGAATGCTAAAGGCACTTTATGTCTCAGTCTAATCAAGTTTCTGAACACGGGTTTTATAACCTTTGAAATAACTTTTTCAAAGCATGCAGCCGCTTATGACTTGAAGCGGTGAATGTAAAATTATTAACCAAAATTGTCAACAAAGTAGTATTTGACTTTTATACAAAATATTATATAACTATCACAACTAAATTGCCAAAAATTAACAGACGCAAAAGATGGAAACGACCGATCAGCCACTTTTGGAAATTAAAACAGAAAACTAAAAATCAAAAGCATTTTTAAGAAACGCCAATAAGTATGTTAATAGTACTTAAATAGTAAATTAAAATTTAAATAGCACCGGGCTTTTCAAGCGTAACGTGTGGCGATCAATCGGAATGTTACGGCTATTATCTATAATAACATCGGAGTTAATACGGATTGAAAGTAGTTACACCACGTAAGGAATACGCACATTTCAACTGATTTTAACGAGATAAGGTGCAGAGTACCCGTGACTATATAAGCTACCCACAGTATATAAAAACTAAAAAAATAATAACCTGAAAGCATTCGAGTATAGCCATTTTTCATAGTATTTCCGAGAAATACGGTACAGACTCGAATATATGAACAAGCGAATAACTAGTCCCTTGTTTTTCTAGTTGTTTGAAACAAAAATATAATATACATGTATAGTATAGATATACCATTGCCAATGCATCGAAATAATAAATTGCTGTTTTGATTTTTTTATTTATTTCGTTTTTAATTGAAACGGAACACGCTGTTTTGTATTCTGTTCCAATTTGCAATCTTAATGAAATATTTCTATTTAAGTGTCATGTATATTTATTTGTTAGTGTTTTTTTTTCAGAATTATATTAATTGTTTAAAGGTATTTATACATATATTTCATGTAGTATTCTAAAAAATCCCCTACTCCCGGCATTGTAACTATATTTTTCAAGTCTTAAAAAAAATTGAAATACATAACTGGAGAGGTCACGATACCTCTTCACAGTGTTCAGACCTATTGCTGGCGGCATCCATTTTTGCGTATCTGCTTGTAGTGAATGAATCTCATTAGGAGCAGTCTACAAAAATGGTTTTGCGCATGCTCCGTTTCAAAATTCGACTTAACTTTAACGAAAAATAAACATCGAAGTAAACAAATCGGTACGTAGAAAAAACGGAAAATTTCATTTACGTCACTTAAAACTACGCGGATGTGTCATTCCGTTTTAATCTTTTTAATTGTATAAATCAATTACCGTATTGTTTTCTGAATAGCGTTTTACTATTTCATATTCCGATAAATAGTAACAGTGAACATAACAGGTACAATATCACCATTCAATATGACCAAGAGAACCGTGTACCGAAATTTTGCTGCTCCTTAAACTTTTGAATATGTACGAGTTAATAACGCAACGGAGATTTTTTGTGCGCAAATGGCACACATTTTACTCAAGATTTTCCTCAAATATCAATTGTGGTTGGAGGCATGCAGCTTTATATACTGTTTATTCCAATCAAATGATATAAAAACATTTTTATGTAAATTATGGGACTTAAAATTGATTAACATACTTTATGCCCGTTTTGGAAAATGTAGAGGAAATGTTTCCGTATACTAACCAAAACATTAACCGAAAATGTGCTTATTGAATTTTACAAGACACTTTTATTTTTGATATTACTTTTAATATAAATATATACATGTGTTTATCATTTATTTTAAATTTAGTTTGATGGCATAACACAAATTATTTTCTTTGTAGAAAAAGTATCGCTTAAAGTATCTCCGGCATATAATCTTTCAAAACATTTTTAAAAAATGAAGTGTAAAACAAACTTTCATTATGACACTATATAATAATAAAGTCTATTTTGTTAAATAATTGTAATTAATAACCATTCATTGTGTCTTTTATGCAAAAATATCCCCAAATATTTTCGAATTACACAAATCTCTCACAGCAGCAAAAAGACCTCTCGCATGCTTCTTTTTAAAGAAGCAAACTTGTCATGCAGTTTTTGCAGACTTACATTTTTGTTTTGCCTGTATTTCTAAAGAAAGTAGTTGTGAATGTGTATTAAAATTGTAACTGTAGCAAAATTTTGACTTTCATACAAATTACTAAATCATTAACACCGTTCTTGATTGGCAAAAATTAACAGAAGCAAACGTTAGTTCAGGTTAATGATAATGGAAATAAAAATAATAAAGAAAAATAAAAATTAAAGAAATATAAATAAAAAGCTTTACAAAATAAAAGCATTTCTAGGGCTTTATGGGCCTTTATGAAAGGATTTTTGCGCGTTAGAAACAATATTAGCTGCTTTTTTTAGAGACGCCAAAATTGTGTTTAAAGTACTAGCTATCATGATAAAACCAATGATTTGTACATATGATTTACTTAAATGGCACCCAATGTACTTTTTTGTAGTATGAAGTGTGGCGCACATTTTTACCCATTTTCCGAGGAATTCAGTACACACAAGATTTCAAACTAGTTCTGTTCCTTCTCGTTGTTTGAAATAAGTATATATAATTAATCTTATAGATTTACTATTGCTAAAGTATTGAAATAATGAATTGATGTTTTGACATATTTTCGTAAAGTTATATTAAGCGCACTGCTTTTAAGTTGAAACGCCCCACGCTGTTTTGTTGTAATTTTTTGAAATAATTCACTTTAAAATGAAGCTTTTTTGTTGTTGTTTTAGTTATTGCGTTTTTCTTACGTAAAGCGGATTAATTTTTCTCATAGATTAGCCTGGGCTCCAATCTGTCGATTTTTATGTGCTTCTTGTCGGCAAATTGACATAATTGAGCCGCGTCATGACAAAACCAACATAGTGAGATTGCGACCAGCATGGCTCCTGACCAGCCTGCACCTCCGCGCAGTCTAATCATGATCCATGCTGTTCGCTTACAAACCATATAACAAGTAGAGAAACTGATAGCGAACAGAATGGATCCTGATCAGACTACGCGGATGCGCAGGCTGGTTTGGATCCATGCTGGTCGCAAAACCCATTATGATGGTTTTGTCATGACGCGGCTCATATATTGATACTATCAAAACGTTACCTATGACGATCGAGTATTAAATAGCGCGTAAGTTATGAATAAGCAAAAAATATATCAACGCATGAATCACAGGCTACTCATACATATATATACGTATATATCATGTAGTTGTAGTATACTAAATAACTCCCCATCCGGAATTGCAATTTACGTAGTTACAGTTCGGATTCTAGATTTTTTTTAAAGATTTAAAATGAATAATTAATACACCATGCAAATTGTGCAGACTGTGCAAACTGAATTATTATATGTACACTGTATATTGCAGTTTATCATAAAAGATAATTTAAACATTAGTGCTTTTCATCCACGGTAACTTTTAGTTAATGTCGCCTTGTCTTGTTGATCTTTTTTATATTCTATTGACTATTTTTTTTCTCTTTTTAAAATTGTTTTTCCGGAGTCATGACCACGGTAACTTTCCTGTGTCCTTTATTTTATACCATATGGGTTTCTTCAAAGAAATATCTAAATTTATGTAAAATCTAGTTAAAATATTATGATTCTTCCAATATTAATGTGAAATAAAAAAGAGTTAATTCATTTTTTATTCTATTTTCCGAGGCATCTTTGGAACTCATTATTAATAGAATAGAGTATGACCGTAAAGGCATATTTGCTCCAAACGAACGATATTTTAGACATTTTTATAGGGTATAAGATTAGTATATTCCGTCTCTTTCTTATACTTAGAGCGCATGTATAAAGTCCCTTTATAAACGATTGACATTAAAAGAAAACAAATTGAAATATGTTGTTTGTTTTTTTTTTTATTCTGAAAAAGTTATTTCATAAAAATTAATGTGCTGAGCATGTATACATGTAAACAGTGATCGCCAGTCTTGACGTTACAGTAACGTCGTACGACAGCCCTAACCCTGTCGTAGAGCTGCGACATTTTTTACGACGTCGTAGGCTACGACAAACGTTAATAAAACGGTCTTAACGTTCTGCGACATGTCTGCGACAAAAAACTAGCCTACGACGTGTCGTAGAGCGTTGATAAAACGGCCCCCTGATCCTTAGTGTAAATTGTAATCAATCAAAGTATGTACATGTAAAAGGGACAAATGTCATCTTTGTTTAATTATTATCATATTGTCTTTGCTTTGTAATGTAACATGTTTTTATAATTGTTATTTCATACTATACTGCTTTAAATCTCAAAAATCATGATGTTACATCCAACATTTTTATATATTTTTTTTAATTTTATGAAGATGACGTGTTTTATTTCATCCATCAAACTGTCTGTTGCGTCACTATTTATTTGATTTCAATGAAAACAGTTCATTATCAATTTACATCGTTTTAAGGATATGAAATTTCTGGCCTAACGCGGCATTGTTCTGTCTGATATGGGTGGGAAACCATTTATTTATTCAAAGTTAGACACATAATATTTTGTATGAAATAATAAATCACTTGCATGATTAATTCAAAATTGTAAAATAAATTATGACTTCATATAAATGTATATATCTATCAACTTCGTTAGCCGTCCGGTTAGCACAAGAAGTAGAGCGTTGGATTGTGAATAAGGCGACCCGAATGGTCGGTTACTGTGATTCATCAACGATTATTCGCACTGTCAGTTTATACGATTTTGACTAATTGAGAGTCAACTTTATTTATAAATGATAATAAAAGTATTGAAACAAGTACAAAAGTTTTTTTTGTTTTTTTTTTAACAACAACACCAAGAGACAAACTGATACTGCCTGAAACAATTAGTAAGCATTGTGAAAAGCATTCTTATAAGATTAGTGAGATAACAAAGGGAGGAATAGCTTATTTAATTTAATTAAAGAAAACGAAACCGAAAAACAATGAAAAAACAAGACTTTTAACAACCAAAATAGTATGTCATAAAATGAATAAACTATTGCTTGATATCATAAACATTTAATAAGCTCAAAAACAATAAAGGTGAGAAGTGTTTCATAATTATCAAGATAAAATGCAAATTGAAAGACAGACGAAACGTTTATGTATTGAAATCTCTTTGAAATGAGTATTTGATCACGCGCACTAAGTACAATAACATTCTATCTACAAGTCATATGATAATTTGGTAATTTCGTGAGCATGTTTTTAAACGTAACTTTATGATTTCGTTAGCATTCATAGATATAATAAATAATCATAGTGTTTTGACCATAAGATATTGACGTTAAAACATAAAAGTGTCAGTTATGACTAGTGAGTATTACGGAATCCAACAAATATAAATATATATGCCGTCTAATAGGAACATTGTAATTGGTAAAAGGCAAAATTACTGAAATAATGTACAATATTCTAATGCAAGATACAATAACATCAGCGTTAGTTAAAAATATTTTAAAAAGACAAAAAAAGGAAAGGCGGCATTCGATGAACACCTGCAAGAAACCAAGCAAGGCACAAAACAAAACCAGGAGAGGGCACAAGAGCATGGCAATGAAATAATAAGGATGAAGGGGACGGAAACGGAGAGTTGAGGGCGGGCAAAATTTGAAACATTTGGGGACGCGGACGAACGATACACGGAAAAACAAACAAAAACATGTCATACATCTATGCTCGCCTTAGAACAATATTCAGCATAAGCTCTACTGGTGAATTTGAACCGATTTATGTTAATCCTCAATGTTATTCTAAAGATGTTCCTGTTCAACTTTTTGTTCCAATTTTAAAGATGTAGCCATGTCTCAAGACTGTTAATATTACAGACATTTGACTTGTTCTCACCTGTTTAGAATCGTATTTGTCCATGTAAATGATATCTTAATCAAACATATTCAATTTATAATCATGTTATCAGTATATAAAGATTTTTATCAATCATAAGAGCGAAATATTTATATTTCAACAATACTGAAAAAATGTCCTCCATTACCAGACACAATTTTATACGGGTGAGAGAAAGTCACGAAAATCTTATCCCTTTTCTCAAGTTTAAAAGCTGCAGCCATGTCACTTGATTGTTCACGTTGTTTGGTAGGCATATGACATTGGACGCTGATGTTTTCTAGTAACACTGATTCTTTATCAGTTTTATCTGAGATGCGGATAACCTGATGTGAAGCTAGTTCATCAGCGGCGGAAATGGTTTCGTTTTCTTTCATGATTGTCAAATGCGTAGCGACATGATAGTATCCTGACTTCTGTATAGCAATAACTCCCTCTTCCTCAAAATAGTCGAGTCCGACTCCTTGACTAATGGAAGACTTCCAAAATATCTTTGATCGATTTTCTTGTTCTGCTTTTGAACAAAAATCAACTATTTTTACATTCTATTTAAAATTCATAACACAGAATAATTTAAAAGCAACAGGAGTGAAGTGATTTAAAAACAATATAAATATGATAAACAAGATCAACAAGGAAAGGCGGCGTTCAATGAACGCAATAAAACTGAAAGAAATATAATATATAAACAAACCTGAAGATTCAATCATCTTTATGTCTTTGAGTTGCAATAAAGCAGGTAAGTCTGTTGATATGGTTTTGTTGACATGGTTGAAGATGGTTAAGTTAAACATATGATGTTCTGTAATATTGACAACAAGGAGAATGTTTTCAATTCAAAATGCATATTATTTTAATTACAATAATTTTTATTTTTATAATCTTCAGTTGTTACGTAAACGGCTTATTCAAAATCGTGTTCTTTCTACGTTTATCGAAAGACAGTATTATACTATATATATGTATCAAAATAGTTTGAAAAAAGAAACAAAAACAACAGAAAAACAGCACTAATGTTTATAGTAAGGTTTCAGAAACAAACAATCGAAGATGATATTTAAGTCATGGTGCTTTGATTTAAATATGTATCTGCACATGTATTGATTTAATCAGTTAACATTCTAAAGAAAAATGACACATATTTTTAATATTTAGAGAAAGTGTTAATAGATCAAATCTGATAATTAAAAACATTCACGCTTAACCAATTAGCACATGTACACGCCTTTTAGCGCCTTTTCACCCCTCCCCTTTTTTTGAAGCCTCAAATGGTTAAAAATGCCTTTTGAGGCTGCCAACACTTATTTTCTTTTAAGAAATGTTCTTAAAAAGTGATCACGTTCTCGACGCCATCCGTAACAAACATACATCAGGGTTGAGGTGCCAGAGGGAGGATGTGCCCCTTTCTGATTAGCGGTTTGAACACTTTTGCTCACCAAGGAAAATATAGGACCCGTGAGAGGCTATAAATGACCTCAGATCGATCATAAGGTAACGTGTAACCGTGTAACGGCGTTAAACGTTTAGATATATACAAGTAAATTTTATTTGAAGCCAATAAGATGAATAAACATATGTTTTTAGATAAAATTCTTGTTTTGGGGGACAATGTAGATGTCAGTTATGAGACATAAAAAACTGAATCCACCAACTTTTTCTCTCTGTGTGTTCCTTCATTATTTACAATATGCATTCGGGTATTCCTGTGATATAAGTGCTAATAAGATTGTCAACGACTTATTGATTGATTTGTTCAAACTTTACAACAGTAATAGAAGGAATTCCGAAGGATTTGTAGTTACATGTAGGTTGGTCTTCCTCCTTTTAATGGCCACGTCTTAACCATTGTCTTTCGAAGATTCCATATCTATAAATGCCATATCTTTGTTCAAAAATTATATGTGGGTCTAACGTTGAAACTTTTCTATAGTACTATAGTGGATGTCACGTGATCCAGATCAAAGACAAAATAAGGACACCTCTATGACAATTAAAAAAATGTCTTATTTGTAAAGGCGGCACAGGGTGTTGACATCATACATAACCGGGATGTGTATGTTGTATGTATAAGTGGCTCTCGGCCCTAACTTCATTAATGACCAGAATGCATATAAAACAGCAATAATCTTACGTAAGATTACGTCACTTATTAAATGTCTTCCTGTTATGATTCTTTTTGGTTACGGAACATCCTAGATGGACTTTATTGGAACTGACTTACTGCTATAGATCTAAATGTTTACCTTTCTTTTAGCATGGTGAGCTTGTAATGCTAAAATCGGCTAAATTAGCTTAACCACTTGTATCTTAGTTTGAGAAGTGTTATTAAGTATATAGACGTCCAATCGAAATATCATACTTATATAAGTCAATTATGCCGCAGTTTTTTTTCTAGACTCCGGAATATTGACTTTTTAAACATTCAGCAATAAGTACATGTTTTTTAGCAGAAACGTTCAATTTCTCTGCGCGGGATAAACATTCGATGAGATGTGTCATTATTTAGAATCAAACGAAAATTTGGACCACGATATCGGTCTAGAAATGAAACTTATAGTAGAAATTAATTACGAAAAAAATCAAGTGTTGAAATATAGTGTATAGAGAGGACCAACCTGGATTAATATCAGCATCATACCGGAATATCATGAGCTGTAAAAAGACAATAATATTACAATCAGTTACAATACTTATATGTATTAAGCAAAGAGGCAGATTATTTTGATTTGTTGCTTTTTCTTTCTTTTTTAAACATCCCAATGTTCTGAATGGCTATTGTACATGCAGCATGTTGATTAACCAAGAGGAGGAATTTTTCTACAAAATTTACCTTATTCCAGAACGCGTGTTAAAGAAGTGAATGTACGATCACTGTTCTAACGGACTTGACTGGGAGAAGAACATTTTGTATGATTGTGATTGTATTTCTGTTACTGCTAACTACATGTTTCCCTTTATTGTTGACATGTTAATAAAAGTATCAAAATATTTGATACTGACTTTTATGAATTGCATAATATTTATTCTTTGAAACATAAAGCGTAGGGAAAGTAGTTTTGGCACATTTCCGTTCCATGACTTTAAAATAGAGATAAAATCCCCTGCATGCGTGTGATGGGGTTGTTTTTATTGTTTTACTTTTTAAGTTCTATATTAATAACCTTCTTGATCCGTCATGAACACGCTTTGATTTTTGTAAGTTCAATATGATAATAGTAACAATTTATTTTGTTCAGTCTACGAAAACGCCAATTTAAATCATAAACGTATAGCAGTTATAATAAATTGCTAATAGACATCAAACTAAATTAGAAAAAAAGTAATAATTCTATATTCGTTAACCTGTAGCAAAGACGTTGTATCTTAAATATAAAATAAAATAAATACTGAAAATCTAACACGATAGCATATATTCACCTACCTGGCGAACAAAAGGGTTTAACACCGCAACTGTTTCAAAGCAAGTTTCATTCTGTGTCGTATCTTTGCCATATCCCAATGTCAGATTTTGAAGGATTTCAGATTTCCACCCAGCTGATTTAAGACTCTCATCACTAAAGCATAGCATAGATTCCATTGGTCGTTGTCTACGAGCAAACCATGTTATGATAAGAGCCACAAGTATAATTTCGAGCACAATTGCAGATGTTACCAAGCACTTAAATATCCTTTTTGCGATCTAAAATCAGAAGGAAGTTACATTTTGCAAATGTATTTATTAAGTCATTTTTTAAAGGTTGCAAACTTTATTATTGTTTGAAAAGTCACACAGCGAACTAATATTTTCAAAATCGTGTTGAACAGACTATCAATTCGTTTTTAAAAACAATTTAATTCAATGGAACTAATGTAATTATGGGGGAATTATCTTGATAGCTCGATGGTTAAATGTTCGTTATGTTTAAGAAATAGACTGAATAAATGGTCTGGAAATGAAAATGTTTTATATGATATCCATTTGGTTTTAGAGATAAACTTGGTTCTGCAGATTGTGTTTGTATTCCCCATAGTATTATTCAAAAGTTGTTTTGTTACAGAAATAGACTTTACTCTGCTTTTTAGCTCACCTGAGCTTGCTCAGGGTGAGCTATTAGGATCGGTGAATGTCCGTCGTCCGTCGTACGTCCACAATTGTTTGTGAACACACTAGTGGTCACACTTATGACTCAATCATTATCAAACTTTGTCCGGATGCTTGTTTAGTCAATTGCTCGGATGAGTTCGAAACTGGGTCATTTCGGATGGAAAACTAGGTCAAAGGAGCTAAAAATAGAAAAAACCTTGTGAACACTCTAGTGGTCATATTTTTGACCCAATCATCATCAACCTTTGTCAGAATGCTTGTTTAGATTATTGCTTGGATGAGTTCGAACATGGGTCATCTCCGATGAAAATCTAGGTCACAGGAGCTATAAATAGAAAAACCTTGTGAACACTCTAGTGGTCACATTTTTGAACCAATCATCATCAAACTTTGTCAGAATGCTTGTCTAGTCAATTGCTTGGATGAGTTCGAACATGGGTCATCTCTGATGAAAAACTAGGTCACAGGAGCTAAAAATAGAAAAACCTTGTGAACACTCTAGTGGTCACATTTTTTACACAATCATCATCAAACTTTGTCAGGATGCTTGTTTAGATAATTGCGCAGATGAGTTCGAATACGGGTCATCTCTGATGAAAAACTAGGTCACAGGAGCTAAAAATAGAAAAACCTTGTGAACACTCTAGTGGTCACATTTTTGACCCAATCATCATCAAACTTTGTCAGGATGCTTGTTTAGATAATTGCGCAGATGAGTTCGAATATGGGTCATCTCTGATGAAAAACTAGGTCACAGGAGCTATAAATAGAAAAACCTTGTGAACACTCTAGTGGTCACATTTTTGACCCAATCATCATCAAACTTTGTCAGGATGCTTGTTTAGATAATTGCGCAGATGAGTTCGAATATGGGTCATCTCTGATGAAAAACTAGGTCACAGGAGCTATAAATAGAAAAACCTTGTGAACACTCTAGTGGTCACATTTTTTACCCAATCATCATCAAACGTAGTGTGGATGCTTGTCTAGTCAATTGCTCAGATGAGTTTGAATATGGGTCATCTCTGATGAAAAACTAGGTCACAGGTGCTAAAAATAGAAAAACCTTTTGAACACTCTAGTGGTCACATTTTTTACATAATCATGATCAAACTTTGTCAGGATGCTTGTTTAGATAATTGCTTTGGTGAGTTTGCACATGGTTTATCTTCGATGAAAAACTAGGTCACAGGAGCTATAAATAGATAAACCTTGTGAACACTCTAGTGGTCAAATTTTTGACCCAATTATTAAGAAACCTTGTCAGGATGCTTGTTTAGTCAATTGTTTGGATGAGTTCGAACATGGGTCATCTCGGGTGGAAAACTAGGTCACAGGAGCTAAAAATAGAAAAACCTTGTGAACATTCTAGTGGTCACATTTTTGACCCAATCATCATCAAACTTTGCCAGAATGCTTGTCTAGTCGATGCTTGGATAAGTTTGAACATGATTTATCTCGGATGGAAAACTAGGTCACAGGAGCTAAAAATAGAAAAACCTTGTGAACACTCTAGTGTCACATTTTTGATTCAATTATCATCAAACTTGGTCAGGATGCTTGTCTAGGTAATTGCTCGAATGTCAAGCTCAAAATTGGTCACCTGGGGTCAAAAACTAGGTCACACTGCTCAAATATGGATAATCCTTGTTAACACTAGTGGTCATATTTTTGACACACCTGTCATGAAACTTGGTCAGAACGCTTGTCAAGGTAATTGTTCGGATGAGTTTGACGGGTCAGGTGAGCGATCTAGGGCCATCTTGGCCCTCTTGTTATGTGTATAGCAAAAAACTTACACAATCTTATTTGAAAAAACCCAAATAGCTAGAGTTTAGATATTAAGCATGAAACATCTTCCAGTTAGTGTCTACAAAGTTTGTTCAAATAAAAGCCCTAGGGTCAAAATTGGCCCTGCCCCGGGGGACATTGATTTTCCTTGTATTTGTTTAGCAAAAACTTAAAAATCTTCTTTGAAAAAACCCAAATAGCTAGAGTTTAGACTTTATTAAGCATGAAACATCTTCTAGTGAGTGTCTACAAAGTTTGTTCAAATAAAAGCCCTGGGGTCAAAACAGGCCCCGTCCTAGGGGTGTCATTGCTTTTAACTATATGTGTATAGTTAAAACTTAAAAAATCTTTTTTTATATACTCAACAAGGTAGACGTTACATGTTTAGCATGAAACATCTTCTAATGGGTGTTTACCAAGTTTGTTCAAATAAAAGCCCTGGGGGCCTATATACAGGTGAGCGACTTCAGGGCCATCATGGCCCTCTTGTTTTAATTACGAGTGATTTTTTGCCACTGTCGCAGGTTCATATTGATGTGTTAATTGTCAATGTATGTCCCGTATTAAACACATGTCCATGTCATGTCTGTTGTATTTGTTACTGTATATATCTTGTGAAGTCCTATATTTGTGTCCCTTTTTCTATATTTCATCCATTCATCATTTATTCAATTACTCATTTATTCATTTCTTCATTCATTTATTAACAAGTATGTACTAACTACTTGTACAAGCCTCAATCCTAAATATTATATTTCCGCACTAAGTACCTTCACGCATGAGCACTGAAGGTTTTCATGGCGCGAGCCAGACTTCATATTGTTTGAAAATAAATATTTTCTGAGAGCTCTTCTCTGTATTTTTGCAGATACGATTGTCTATATTGATTCCATGCTTGTCATTCTACATTTTGCAATTCACGATTTTGTGTCATTTGTCATTATTTTGTATTTGCACTCGTACTGAAGGTTTCATGGCGCGAGCCAGACTTCATATTGTTTGATAATAAATATTTTCTGAGAGCTCTACTCTGTATTTTTGCAGATACGATTGTCTATATTGATCCCATGCTTGTTATTCTACATTTTGCAATTCACGATTTTGTGTCATTTGTCATTATTTTGTATTTGCACTCGTACTGAAGGTTTCATGGCGCGAGTCAGACTTCATATTGTTTGATAATTTTTGCAGCAACCCTCAAGCCAATACCCTTTAGCAGCACCCGTCCCTTATAGCTAGAGTGGACTGAGACACCACTATTGCCCGTGGTTCACTGTGGACAATTGACAGTTTGCCAATGTCGTCACAGGTGATGAAACATGGGTCCATTATTTTTAGCCCGTCAAAAAAGTAAGCAACAAAATCTGGGCCACTAAACACAACAAACGCCCAATAATTGCCAAACGGTCTTTGAGTGCAAAGAAGGTTTTGTATGCAATTTTCTTCTCTCGTGAAGGAGTCGCAATACAAGTGCCAGTGAAAAAGGGCAAAAGTATCACTGAGAAGTACTACCAGGACGTAGTTCTTAAGAAACTAAAAAGTATGATAAGAAGAGACACTGTAGCTTGTTTTTAAGAATATCCGTCTTGTACATGACAATACCGCCGCTCATACCTCCGCAATAGTTTCGGCGTTTTTGAAAAAAGAATAAGTAACTGTTTTGCACTTGGATCTGCCATTCATATGTACCTTATTACTGTGCCCAAATCAGCGTACCGTGACGCCTTCAAGAAGTTAATACATCGGCTGAAACTTTGCATTTCTAGCCTTGGGAGTACTTCGAGGGCATGAAATTTACACTTTTGAGCTAACTTGATATTTGAAGTCTCCAGATAGAAATAAGCAATACATTTCGAACATCCCTCGCATTTCTAGAATGCAGTAAACTAGATTCCGTTTAGCCTCGCTATAAGTAGATGCACATAAAATATTTATTTACATTTGCATTGTGGAATGCATTCAATCTGTGCAGTGTCCCTCTCAATATTTACTGTTAGAAAACAAAAGATCCTTGAACTACAATCGAGTGAACTATGAACAGAAATCAAACTTGTTATGCCTGTTGGCAGACAATGATTTTAGCTTTTACTGAAAACCGTTTTATGCTATTCATAAACTGATTGTCATCCTATCATTTGTAGGTAAATGTTCAAATGCAAATATTTTAGTTTATAAGTCAAATTGTGGGAAACAGACTTGGAACATACATAAAGTTGTTTTCTTAAGAACATGGGGCTCAACTAGGTTTCTCCCGGCGCGTGATAGACCAAATTGTGTATTTCATATCGCAGATCACTAATCACTTCTTTTTGAGAGCAGATTGCATCGTGATTTATTATCACATGACATTTCTTTTTTCTGGTGGTAACTGTTTAAAGCTTTGAAAGCATGTATTAAGTTTTTAATTTGAATTTGAATATGTTTCCGACATTAAGAGATGGTTAATTTTCAATTTATACGTCGGTGTGGTAGCAAAGTCGATACAGTTTAGTTTATTTTATTTTGTGTTATTTGAAAGGAACTCTAAGACTTTGGAATGATTATTAAGTCGTGCGAATGGGTTATTCAGTCATGGTCGTAAGTCTTCAGTTATTTTGCCCAAAATACTGAACAATGCGCACGAGTTGACTCCTTTTGGAAATATGCTAGTTATGTCTTGTGTCTATATATCCAGTTAAAATGAAGTTCTTGTGGAAAAAAAGAAGGTCCCTCGTAACAAGTTTTGGACCATTTACCTATCGTTAATTGCTATCGAATGCAATTTAAAAAAAGTTATAACAATGATTGTTTTATTAAAAGACAAGAATAAAGATCAAGAAGGCAAAGGTCACGTTCACAGGACGCAGCCCCCGACACTCCAAAGTAGGGCACCCAGAAGGCACCAAACCTTATATACCAAGACAAAATGTGAAGGAACTGACAATTCATTATCATTATTATAGTGAAGAAATCTTAATATGTACTATGATCTTTATATATACTTTTTTCTTTGTCTAAGAATGTATTCATAATTAACTAAAGATAAATTTGTCTAGAGTCCTAAGATGATAGCTAAAGCGTTTTTGTTAGCATTACAAAAAATAATTACGACGGTCGATAGGCCCGGGTAATTAATAACAAAGCATTTGGACGATAAACCGTGCATAATTATACTATATCTGACGTCAGATGACGTGTTTGCATTCTTTTCTATTCTGCGTACGTATCGTGTTATAATGCGCTTGACTGCTATGTCTGTTTGATAGGGTAATAGAATGAAGCATATAAGAATTTTAAATTCTACTCTGTTTAAAATGAAAATAAAATGATAGTAAAATATGATGGATTTGTTAGAAGGACATATCTTATAAACACTTATTTCTTGTATAACTTACTAATCAAGTATTTTTCTTTCCATCATTTAAGTCCTACAGTCTTACAGCCAAGTGGCGACTAAGCCAGCCGAGTGGTTAACGCTTCGAACTAGTAATCTTATGATTGCTAGCCGCATAGGTCTAAACCCTGACAAGGGCAAGTCGTTGTTTCCTTGAGCAAGAAACTGTACACTCATTGCTAAGTACCGGTTGTTTCTAGAAACGGATTCAAAAGTGTGTTTATAAGCTCATAGCTTGCTACACAATCCATCTAAAATAAATTCTGTATAAACCAAGTATTTTTTCTCCACCTGAGGCACATTGCTCCAAATCTTATGTAACGGCATCAAACTGTTCATTATTAACACTGGGTTATGGTTATTTATGTTAACAACGCTTTTTACTTGGCCATAAAACTATGTACATGAATTGTTATAACTGGCAATATTAAACATATTGCTGTAGTAATGTCTGAACATCAGTTATGTTTAATCTGACACATCATGACAAGTAAATATTTTGTCATGTTAGATCTTTTCAATTTATTCAATATAATGAACCGCATTATATTCAATATGATTCCTTCGCTATTGAAAACAAATAAAGAGAGATTTATTACATTTGAATAATCGTATTGACATATTTTTAACCGGTAATCATAAATTCTAAAATAGACTGTAAATTAATGTTTGCAAATACAAAATTGCACGTAAACCTCTTTTGTGCTACAGATTTAAAGAAGATTTCATTTATCAAAATGTTTACATTAGAATATAAGGTATGCGCATGAGAAAAAAGGTGAAATCAATGTAAGCTTAGGTAAAGTCTTTATCCACGCGGGTATTTTACTTTCTCAAAAGAGAATAGAATAAAAAGTAATATTCGTTATTTTTGTATTAGAAGTTATGTGTTTGTTTTTTATCCATATATCAACTTACTAATAAATATTAGCAATAAAACGTTTGTAAATTCAAAACAGATAATATACTTAAACAAACTAAATTATATTATGTTCAGTAAAATATGAGAGTCGTTATTTACAAAAAATGACTCAAATTGTTCTTAAAATTAGTAACAGTGTACGAGTTGTATTAAACCGATGAATTATTTTCATAATCCTCGTCGAAACCAGTATTCTTATGTCTTATGTTGTTTCATACTGTTTTGGTGACACTTTTGCTTGTGTCCCTTGTTGTTTTCTCGTCTACGGTAAGTATCTTCCTCATTGCCTCTAGTTTTATTTCTTTGATTACTCCCACCCCCTCCCCCCGGTCTCCTGTCCCCTTCCCCTTTGTGGGCCTATTTTTATTTTCTTTGAATTCCTAATCAGTTACAAATTAATTATCATTTAATGATTAACCTGTCCGTGCTCTGTCTTTGCCCTGTCCTGTTTTTGTTTGGGGTCCCCCTGGGCTCCTTGCCATTGGTTCTTGTTGCTGGGTCATGTGGGGGTTGCGTTCATTGAACGCCGCCTTTCCTTGTTGATCTTGTTTATCATATTTTGCCTTAAATAAACTATGAACTGTGACTGAATGGTGCTTTAATGCATTGAGTTATGGGATAAGCAAATTAATACTAGTTCAACATGGCTAATGACAAACGTTTATCATTGCGTTATATACGTTTAAAAAACTGGAATATCAAATCGTTTTAATAGTTGGCATATTACATATTTGAAACGATGGCCTATAAGGCCATTTCATTTTGTTCTTTGTCTGTGCAATATGTCAATGTAAAACGCTCGATAAGTTCATGGCGCAAACACTTATCAGTTAAACATAATTTTATTTCAATTAGTATACCCGTTGTCTTCGAATGTACCATATGGCGATACGACACATGCGTATTACTTCAATGACCATTGCGAGGTATACTGATCCTGTGAACAAAGTTTTTGCATTCCGAAAAACATGTAACATAATAATTTTGCTCTTTCAAAATTACATTTCACTGCGTTATGTATATATTTCAAAATAAGACATTTTTGTCTACAGTCTATAATAATTATTTTAATAGTATTTCAATTTTTTTTCTGATTACATGTTCTTGCATCAAGAATAAATTATCATGCCAAAAGGTAGTTCTTTACCTCTTCTACGAACGACATAATTCAGATATTGTGTGAAAATCTATATAACTTGAAAATCTTAAGCATAGTTAAACGACTGTGTTCTGATCATGCACTTTTTTATAATTATAAATTATTAAGCAAACCATAATCGTGGTTGAAATGTAGGAACTGATTTCTTTATCAGTTAGATATGGAAATGTAACTTTAACTGATGTCATAATTATAACAAAATGAAATCGTGACTTCAGTTAATTTGAAACAAAAATACGTTTAAACAGGGATTTTAACTGTTAAAGTATTAATTATCATCTAATAAGCAAAAGCACGTTTATCATGATGACACAAACTTCTAATGCTGCTAATTTCGTTAATTGTTTGACAAAATGTTCCGGGCAGAATTCAATCTGTAACTTTAGGACAGGAACTTATGACAACACAGTAAAAATTAAGCTCCTGTCTTAGGTAAGTTTTTATCAAGATATGCAACATACATTAAATATGAAGATGATATGCAGGAAACTGCGTACATGTATCACAGCTATATATATTTTCTTCAGAAATAATATAAAAAATGTAACCGTGTCCTTTTTTGAGCAGATTATTAAATCACAAGATAAATTACTTAGTTGGCGAAATATTTTTTACACAACTCTTACATGTCTTAACGACAATGTGACTTTACTTAATTTGAAATTGAAATACGTTTAAACAGGAATTTTAACTGCCATCATGTAATAAGCAAAACACGTTTAGTATGATGACAGAAACTACAAATGCCGCTAATTTCGTTAATTTCTTGAATGTCAACCCTTTAAAGCAAATTAAAAAAAAAAATAAGTAAGAAGCCTAAATAACTTCAATGTTACACTGAACATAAAATATAATATTGTTAGTAATATAAATAAGAGGAGAAGAAGAACATGGCTTTATAAAGCTATAGAAATGCATACATAACACGAGATGCAGTGAAGAATGCAACCGAGTATGGAACGTTTTAGTGTACTTAGTGAACATAATAAATATTGTATGTTATAAAACATTGTAATTAAGTAACATAGAGTTATTCATTTAAGGAAAAAAAATAACCTACCCTTAATGTCATGTTAAAGATCCAAAACAGGAAGTAAATACATGTGAATTTTATGTGAAATGGTTATATTTACTAGTTTGTCAATATTATTTATACACTGTGCAAATAATTTTACCTTTTAAATATCACTGATATAATTTCCCCTTATGCAATTCTTACATAACATAAGATAAGATAAGTAAATTTTATTATATTGACATTGTGTTATGTACATACATACAAATGTCATTTTACGATACATTTTTAGTTTTACAACACACTGCCACGTTGGGCCTACAAGTCACTTAATTATTTAATCATTTTCAAAAATATACAATTTATAACATAATTTAGATATTAACTAATTATATACATGCACGAACAAATAGTGATTAAAATGTTCTTGGACATAATAACATCTGCATTATAAGAGAAATAGGAAGTATACAAGTTTACTTTTTTCCAATTACTTTCGGTATCAAATCACATACGTATATGATACATATACAGTTGTCATTCATGTACATATCATTAGAGCAAATACATTTACAACATTTTTTTAAATTAATTTCTCTACAGAGACATCCTTCTTCTGTTCATAGCTTCAACTAAAAATTTAGCAACATGCACATAATGATAATTAACAGCATATACTAACTTATTCACTTCAGACATATGTTCAAAATCAGGATTTCTATCTTTACATTTTGATAAAAGGTTCTCTCGTAAGTCATTATATTAAATGCAGTTTAAAAGAAAATGAGTCTCATCTTCTACAACATTAACTGGACAAAAGTGTCAAAATTTTTCGTTTACATTTAAACCGACATATCTTCCCGTTTATATCTTTAATGGAAGAATACCACATCTGAATTGGGCTAAATGAGACCGTTCAATCTTAGTTAATGACGAAAGCAAATACTTTTCAGTATTATAATGTTGTTTAAATTCAATATATATTCTAAGTTTGGCAACAATTCTAACATTATTACACCAATCCATTTTATATTTAACAAACAATGCATCTTCAACATCTTTTAGGTTTACAGGTAACTGGTTTTCATAGTAATGTGACATTTGAATTTGTTGCAATATAGTTTTTACATCATAGCACCATGTTTTTTCCGAAACAATTGTAGTCATAGGAGAACATTTTTTTTTTTGAAGCCTATCGTCCGGCATATTTACAAGTCGATTCCAAAATCGTAAAATGTTAACCCAACGTCTATGTTGAGTGGAAATCCAACCCATGTCACCATTTATTGCTAATAATGGTGCAAATTTATGCACACCCATAAAATATCTTATTGCTCTGTTTTGCGTCATATCGGTTTTGTTATAATATTTAAAACCCCATATTGAGGAACAGTAATCTGTTACAGGAACACCACATGAATAGTACATTTTAGTAAATGTTTTAAAGCCAACATCTTTATAATTATGTACTTTAGAAATAATTGCACCAAGTGCTCGGCCACCAGATTTAGACAACAATTCGGCAGTTTGAGTAAAATCTAAGTGCTCATGTAAATTAACACCCAAATATTTATACATATCCGTAAACAATACAAAACAATCGCCTATTCTAAATTGAAAATTACTTCTAATTTAACCCTTATTTCTGAAATGCACAACCTTTGACTTTTCATTATTTACGCCAGACAGAGTCGGGAACCAGTCAGTTAACATACCGTTTAACTTGACACAAGACGATGTATCCGTCAAAATAGCCTTAATCGAGTTATAAAATTTTCCATTTATACTATTAGACAAAAGTTTATACAAAAGAACATCCCTATTGACAAAGTCAAATGCCTTTTTTATATCAATAAAAGTTCCAAATGTATCAAGAGTTACTTAAAAGTCTATTTCTAATAATAGTACATGAGGTATAAACATGGTCCTCACACGACCGTTTTGAACGAAATCCGTTCTGCTCATCAACAAGTAACTCTTGATCTTCTAAATGTTTCTTTAGTCTATTATTTAACACAGCTGAATATAATTTGCTAACCACCGAGAGTAAACTTATTCCTCTGTAATTCAAGGGTATACGTTTATCTTTAGTAATATCTTTTGGTATACGGGCAATCATTGCTTTTCGCCATATACTTGGTATAAAACCCGTATCAAAACACAAGCAAAAAAGTGAATAGAGTACATCTATTATGATTGGAAATTTTAACGCTTCGCATGGAATTTTATCAAATCCCGTGCTTTTACAATTTTTGGCGGCTTTTACAACAATTTCAATTTCGTAACGATTCAATGGCAAATTAAGAGCAGGATTTTCTTCGAATAAGGGGTCGAGCATCTGATTTTCCATAAAACGTTTTTCTCTGAGAATTTCCTCATAAAACTGGTTATCAAAATGATCACAATTTTCATTTACATTATATAGATCTTTAAAATCCCCAGACCATTTTTTAAACACAAATTCACTATCGTGAATGATATCTCCGTTATCATCATACACTTAAAGAGGTGTCGAAGGTTTCCGTTTCGGACCAAGATTTTTAATATGATCCCAGAATGCTCTAGGGTCATTTGTGCAAGTACTCTCAATGTCGATCGAAATATTTCGCTTGTAGGCTCGTTCAGCGCGTCGTAACTGTTTATCGAACAGACGTCTTGTCTCGGTGAATTCACTTTGGAATCGTAGTCGCGTGCGTCGATCACCATGGAAACGCATGAAATTCCGCTCTGAGATGCATACGGCCTGCCACAGTTGCTCAATATCGTCGTCCCAGTAAGCCTCAAACGATTTGTAGCGTTTACGGGTTTTCTTCGAACAGTCAAATGACGGTATATGTTCATTCATTTCTTTTATTAAAGTATTACAAAATTGATCATAAATCAAATCAATATTGTGTTGATTTTCCCTACATAATTCAATATTACGTATCAAATTGCGAAATGCTGTTTTGGCCAAATTTGAAGACAAAAGTCATCTGGAATTCGTTTTAACTTGTATATCCGTGTATTAAATGTTGGTCGTGACTGCTGATTCACGGGATTGTTAGTCTCGTTATAGCGGTACTATAATTATATGTAAATCGTAAAATGTAGTGATCCGGTAATTTACTACGCTCTCCGATTAGACTCTTAAGATTGTGCTTATCAAGAATCGATGCAGGGGAAATAACTTCAAAATTATCACAAGCATTAAAGCAGTCATGTGGGACACAAACGTAGTCAACAACAGATTTTCCGCGAACTGAACCTGACGTAAAAGTGTTTCTATCTTCATTAAACCGCCATTTAAAACACACATCTTTGAGTCAATCAGAAAATCTACAAACGTCTGTCCATGCTGATTAACACTCTTGTCAATACACTTTCTCAATGGTATTACTTGTTTTTTTTTTCTGACGTAAGGATTTATAAATGGTTGTTTATACTCGCAGTATGAATGTATTATTACATTCAAGACAGAAACCGCACAGAACATTAAAAAGGGCAATCGTTTAAAACATGGCATTAGGTTATTGTTCAAAGTATTTATCTAGGTTTCCAACTTTGTTTATCATTACATTCAAGAAAGAAAAAACAATATCAGCAGTACAAGTGTTAAAAACTTGTTAAATAAAGCATACATAAATACCAGTTGGTAGCTTATTTCAGGAACAATAAAATGATAAATTGTTATCTATGTAAAACCCCTGTCAAACTAAGGCGACGTTCTCACGGCGTCCACAGAAAATTCAGAACGCCGAAGTGAGAGAAGATGGATCGCAAACATCGCCGCAGCATCGCATAGAACGCCGATCGATGGTGCGCATTTTGAGCCTGCTCAAAACAAACGCCGTTACTCGGCATTCTGATAAGAGCCCAGCGGGATCGCAATAAGGACGCCGTAGCAACTCAGTAACATCTCCATCAACGCAACAGGAGCCCCGTGAAAGCGCAAAAGGATAACCGAAAGAACGCCGTGGTTAGCCATGGCGCTTGTACGGAGATTGTGCGGTATCTCTACCGCGCTTATGCCTACGTCACATTACAAGCGGGGACCGGCCGATATAGAGGGATCGATAGAACACCGTTGATAATTTGAGATAGGAGAGAAACATTTCAATCAAACAAGATCAATAAGGAAGGCGGCGTTCAATGAACGCAACCACGACACTATCCAGCACCACAGGATGACCACCGTCAAGGAGCCAAGCAGTACACCAAACAATCTTGTCCTTCTTCTTTACCTATCCAAGTGTTTAAGCACTTATGCACGGGACCTTGCTTTAAAGTCTCGTCTGAAAGACTTCAAGTAATATCAGTTGGTCATCCCGGGAATCGAACCCAAAATAACCAGATTACAAGTCTAGCGGTTTAACCGATTCAGCTCTGCACGCTGGCTAATGAGAGAATGATGGTGGTATTTATGATTTACCCTGATGACTATGGCAGTATGCCAACTTGAATATACATATCAGGGCACAGTTCAGCTACCGTATCGTTCATGTACAGTCTGTCAAGCAGTTAAACAGTAATAATCTATTTCACTTTCGAAAGGTACTGAGAACTTCTGTACAACGAAAGTGACCTTCACCGTTGTCCAAGAATTGAACACGGATCGCCTAATTCACAGTCCAAGGCTTTACCTGCCGTAATGACTGTTAAAAAACCCCAACGCTATCCTTACGGACACCTTAGGACCATATGTGCAACGTACTGCGTTCATCCGGGCCCTGGTCACTAACCTTTCGAGACGCATTCGGTGACCGCTCATATACCGCTCGGAAACTTGAGGAATATTTGGCGCCCAGGAGGTGAACATTTCAACCGGTATGTAACCGATAACAAAAGGTGTCCGGCTGGGTATCAGAGGGTATTTTACCGTGTCTGCTACGGTGAGCTGGCGATGTACCGGATGCCGGAAGAAAATAACTCTGCACTAAAATTCTCCGATTACCTGTACGGTGCGCCACCGGTAACTTGAAACCGTAGGGTCACCGGCCGGAGACCTTTAAAAATGGCAATTTCAGCCCGTTTAGACATCGGTACTCCATCATAAACCTAATCGGAGTGTAATGTGACGCAGGCTTTATACTGCGTGTATACGGCGTTTTAACGGAGCTTTATTTTTCTAAGACGCTTTAACTGCAACTTTACGGCACTGTCACGACGTCCATTGCGCTCTCAAAGCG